CCGACAACATTTTAGGATAGATTCGTATTAATAGAGTATGTATTCTTTGGTTTAGATTGGTTTGATTTATTTTGCTTTACGGCGTATCAACCTCAGTGGGTTATTTAATGCCGACAACATTTTTAGGGTAGATTCGTATGAATAGAATATGTATTCTTTGGTTTAGATTGGTTTGGTTTATTTTGTTTTACGCCATATCAACCTCAATGGGTTATTTAATGCCGACAAACATTTTTATTGCTGATAATATTTTATTTTGTCAAAAATCTGTTTCTGGTAATATATTTCCTTTAAAATTGTATTGCTGGTAATAATTTTTTCAAAAAAGTATTGCTGGTAATAGTTAACTATTTTCCCATAGCTGGGACCCTAACAGGTTCTACCACCCCGGGTCAGGGTGGACCTGGGAACACCAGCAATTAAGAGGTGGTTCCACGCTCCTCAAAACCTCCTGATCAGAGGCCTTGCTGCTGGACGTAGTTTAACGTCAAACTCTTTTAGTCGTATAAGATAACTACATCACTACGCCAAGTATGGTTTTTGTAACAAGTAATTTTTTTATCGTTTTATATTCAAAGTTTTACTTATCCGAGCTGGGTTGCCTATAGAACCTACATTATTTCGCCTTGCAATTAAAGCTTAATTGTGTGGATTTTTTTTAATGTTATTTGAATTTCTTTTTACGGCTTATCGACCCTTTATGGGTTATATAAAGTGGAAAAACATTTGGGATTGGAAGAATATTATTTTTTTTTCTTTTTCGAGTGGATATTGCATTCACATTGTTTTAGAACAAAAATGATTTTTTTTCCAGATATAATTCATATTGTTTAACCCATATATGGAGGACGGGATGACTCATACCTTTCCAAAATTTATTTCGCGGGTATTTGTAATGAACACGAATGGAATTCGAAATTTGCTCTTCGATTTCTCAGTCTGAGATGTTACCAATTAAACTACCCCCCCCGCACGAATTTGAGTGCAACGGGCGCGGCTGAAATTTGAACTCGATATCTTTATCCCAATTTCCGCGCCAATAACGACAAGGCTATGCACGCACACATCCGCTCTGAGTAATATGATTTAAATTTTAGTTTCCGGTATTTAATTGACGCAATCTCTCACCGTTTTCCTGGCTGTCCGTTATCAAATGAAAATATATGTATTCGTTGGTCCTGTTTCCACCATGCTAGATATTTCATGATAGTTCTCAAGGGAATGATATTGCATAATTTTTCCTCTTTCATCCCAATATAACATGTGATACATTGTACGTCAGTATAATGGAAGCACCATGGAGTAACACACATCTTTTCGTTTATGTAGGCTTAATTGAACATGGACGAAAGTTATTTTTGTTTAAGAGTTTTTTTTGTTTGTTTTTTGTTTTTTTGTGGTAGGCATATATTATTATTATTGTTATTATTATTACTATTAATAATAATAATAATAATAATATTGCATTTGATTTCTGTTGTATAAACATTTCCTTCCGTGTCCCAACCAAAGACCCAAGGTCAGAAACGACGTCATCACATTTTCCACTAAGATCACAGTCATTTTACATAGATAGAGATCTTCGTAATGCGTGAGCTGTACTTGATTTTTTTGGGGGGGTGGGGATTTTTAAGGCATTATTTTATTTCCTTTGATTTCTGATGTGTACACATTTCTTTCCGAGTCCCGCCCAGAGACCCAAGTTTAGAAATGGCCTCATGTCCTTTTCACTGACCAATTAAAACACACACACTCACACACACACACATACACACACACACACACACACACACACACACACACACACACATATATATATATATATATATATATATATATATATATAAAATATATAGAATAATAGGAAGGAACAGGTTAGGTAAATAATCCAAAGTTCCTTAGTATTTTAGTTATTAATTTTAAAAATAGTGTTCGATATAAAAGTAGAGCATAAATATAATTATTTATTTAAAAATATGATCCCAACTCGCGACATAAGAGGTCTCATGTTTCAAAATAAGAGCCGAAAACAAGATTCAAAAAAAAATTCCGCTTGAAGATGGAACAGAGCTTACTTTAACTCAATTTAATTCAAATAATTATATTGAAGTTTTCGGCTCTTGTTTTGAAACATGAGACCTTTTATGTCGCGTGTTGGAATCATATTCTTAAATAAATAATTATATATATATATATATATATATTACTTAGATGAAGCCCTTCGTAAAGTATTGGCTGTACTCTGAAGAGAATTATTTTGTATTTCTTTAAGGCATGGGCTTCCAGGAACCCCTTCAATACTACTGGGATCTTTTCTAATCAATACGAGTGCTTCAATTACAACAGGGATTGTTGATGTTCCCATGTGCCACATTTTTGAGATTTCGATTTCAAAGTCATATATTTTGATAGCTTTATTATTATTATTATTATTAATATTAATATTATTGTAATTATTATTATTATCTTCGCTTTTTCCACGTTGTTTCTGTCTTCAACAAGAGATCTTTCATCATACGTGTTCCTCACTAAGTTGTACGACTTCAAGCAGATAGCACATTTTACCGAATATATGTAGTACTTAGCAGCCAAATTATCATTTTTCTGGAAGTGATTTGGACGTTGGGGGTACTGACTTTCAATGAGGCTGGATGTCCCAAATGTCTTATTTACAGCCAGACAAATGTAGTTGAAGTTATTAAAAAAAAAAAAACTCTCCCGAGGTGAGTGATCAAAGGACAAAAGATCATGCACACTTTGCAAATGATACGGATAGAGGAGCAGCTCTTGAAGTACCCTCCATGCTGTACTATTTGATATACCACTATAGAGAGCCAGTTAAGGTGTGCTGATATCTGGATGGTCTCTGAAAGCCTGGAGAATATGTTCTTCGGTGTACAAACGAATGTTGGTTTTCCTCGAAGGGTTGTCATGGAGCCATGGACCCTGTTTCAGTAACACGACTATAAACAGCAGCAAATACAAAATCTGATACAGCCGTGCAGCCTTGCGTTTCGTACCATTCACGTGGCCGCATGTAAAAATCCTATCTGCCTGCTCACGATATGAATATCCTGTCATTGTTAAAAGGAACAGTTCTCAGTTAACACAAGTTTCTTTAAACTTAATAACTCAAAAACTAAGGAGTTTCAGATATATGTATATATGAATTTTTTGTCCTTAGGTTGTCCAAATCTGTGAAAGTATATTTGATGCGCACACACACACACATATATATATATATATATATATATATATATATATATATATATATATATATATATATATATATATATGACAATTGGAAAAGAATCTTAGATTTTGCCGACGCGTTTCGTCTTCCGACTTTTCAAGTAAAAATGAAACGTTTTTTGTTGTTATAGTTACATATATAAATTTAAAAAGACGCTTCTAAGCCTTTTCCTGGTTAATGTAAATTTCTTTTATACTAAGAGATTTTTTTCCATGTCGACAATACAGTTAAATTCCCAGATCAATATATATATATATATATGTGTGTGTGTGTGTGTGTGTGTGTGTGTGTGTGTGTTTAAGAAAAAATCGGGAATAAAATCACTATCAATTAACAATGACACCTACGCTTTGTGTATGGGAATTAGCAGATGTGAATAACCTTTTCGTTATACGGAAATATATCGAATTCATTGACTGAACAGTCAGTGCCACCATCACTTGAAATTTATAAAACCTTGATCTTAAAATATTTCTTCAGGAAAATAGATTTCTCAAGTCCAATAGATTTTATTGCTTCTTACAGTATTGAATAGGGATTTCTTTTCTAACTTTTTTGCTTGAAGTTGTGTATGGAATGCCAACATCTTGTGTATATCATTATTTTCCCGTCGAGTCACATGTGATATCGATTTTACTTACTGCTGATGTTGAAAGTCTCCGACTACTGTTGTTTCTATTATTTGGCATAGTACTTGTGCAGTGATTTTGTAGTGCCAGTCAACGAGGTCCAAAAAAGAAATAACCTCGCTAAGACCTTCAAGATCGATGTCAACTTTACCCATTAATCTTGTACATAGCTGACGGTGTAAATGCAACTAACAAATAAAAGATCTGTGTTTCCTGTGACTCGTTGAGGTTGAAATGGGTATTTGAAATGTTTCTGTAGGCGTTGAAAAATTAAAGAAATTACTCTTCAGTTAAAAGGTATAAGTTGCATTAAAATGTGAGCGGATTTGTCTATGCCTGGAAGTACCAGAGTATCTTCAGTGGCTTGAACATGCCCGAAGGGACGATTACGTTTTTGTTTCTAGGTGTAGAGGGGGCTTATCTGCATCGACAAGAGAGACAGGTCTTAAATAGCTCGGTATCTCAGATGTAATTCGCTCTATATATTGACATATGCTTACTATCATCACAGCGCGAATCATCTGAAAAGAAAGACAATATTTTAAGCTGCAGGTCATTTTTAAACAAACAATATTCACCCATTGCAGGGTTGACAATTCGCCCAATGCAGGGTTAACAGCTGACAATTGCTATCGAAGGCAATTGAAGCAGACATAATAGCAGGAAGCGCAGTTGACACTGGGCATCGAAGGCAATTGAAGTAGATGAAATAACAGGTAGCCTAGTTGACAATTGCCATTGAAGCCCTACGAAGCAGGCAAAATAGGTACCCAGTTGACAATTGGCATCGAAGGCAAATGAAGCAGACATAATAGCAGGAAGCGCAATTGACACTGGGCATCGAAGGCAAGTGAAGTAGACGGAATACCAGGTAGCCTAGTTTACAAATGGCATTGAAGGCCAACGAAGCAGGCGAAATAGGAAGCCAGTTGACAATTGGCATCGAAGGCAAATGAAGCAGACATAATAGCAGGAAGCACAGTTGACACTGGGCATCGATGGCAAGTGATGTAGACGAAATATCAGGTAGCCTAGTTTACAATTGGCATTGAAGGCCAACGAAGCAGGCGAAATAGGAAGCCAGTTGACAATTGGCACCGAAGGCAATTGAAGCAGACCTAATAGTAGGTGGCGCAGTTGACATTTGGCATTGAAGGTAATTTAAGCAGACGAAATAGCATGTAGCCCATTTGGCAATCTGTAGCGAAAGTGACAGAAAGCTGAAGTTCACTTTTTAACAAAATATATTCGCCCAATTCAGGGCCACAGAGACAGTTGAAGCAGACGATATAGCATGTAGCCCAGTTGATAATTGGCATCGAAGGCAAATGTAGCTGACGAAATAGCAGTTTGCCCTGTTGAAAACTGGCATCGTAGGCAAGTGAAACTGATGAAATAGCAGGTAGCCCCGTTGACAATTGGCATTGGAGGCAAGAGAAGCAGACGAAATAGCAGGAATCCCCGTTGACAATTGGCATTGGAGGCAAGAGAAGCAGACGAAATAGCAGGAAGCCCCGTTGACAATTGGCATTGGAGGCAAGAGAAGCAGACGAAATAGCAGGAAGCCCCGTTGACAATTGGTATTGGAGGCAAGGGAAGCAGTCGAAATAGCAGGAAGCCCCGTTGACAATTGGTATTTGAGGCAAGTGAAGCAGACGAAATAGCAGGAAGCCCCGTTGACAATTGGTATTGGAGGCAAGAGAAGCAGACGAAATAGCAGGAAGCCCCGTTGACAATTGGCATTGGAGGCAAGTGAAGCAGACGAAATAGCAGGAAGCCCCGTTGACAATTGGTATTGGAGGCAAGAGAAGCAGACGAAATAGCAGGAAGCCCCGTTGACAATTGGTATTGGAGGCAAGAGAAGCAGACGAAATAGCAGGAGGTCCCGTTGACAATTGGCATTGGAGGCAAGAGAAGCAGACGAAATAGCAGGTAGCCCCGTTGAAAATTGGCATTGGAGGCAAGAGAAGCAGACGAAATAGCAGGTAGCCCCGTTGACAATTGGCATTGGAGGCAAGAGAAGCAGACGAAATAGCAGGTAGCCCCGTTGACAATTGGCATTGGAGGCAAGAGAAGCAGACGAAATAGCAGGTAGCCCCGTTGACAATTGGCATTGGAGGCAAGAGAAGCAGACGAAATAGCAGGAAGCCCCGTTGACAATTGGCATTGGAGGCAAGAGAAGCAGACGAAATAGCAGGAAGCCCCGTTGACAATTGGTATTGGAGGCAAGTGAAGCAGACGAAATAGCAGGAAGCCCCGTTGACAATTGGTATTGGAGGCAAGAGAAGCAGACGAAATAGCAGGTAGCCCAGATTACAAATTGGCATCGTCGGCAAATGAAACAGACGAAATAGCAGGTAGCCCAGTTGACAAATGGCATCGAAGGCAAGTGAAGCAGACGAAATTGCGTGTAGGCCAGCTGACATTCTGACGCGCATGGCAGAAGTGCCAGAAAGAAATAGAGGAATCATGAAGGAGATTGTATTGATAAAAGCAAGAGAACTGGTACTAAAGGCAACTTATTGTGAGAAGCTCTGGAGCCCTCGTCAAAATTTATTGTATTTCGATTTTTATAAATCAAAATATGTTTAGCTAAACCATCTATGTCTTTTCTCACTGGTATTGTAATGTAGAACGGGTACCGAAATCAATAAAATTATCCAATCCGTGGCACCGGGTTCATTTCCCGTATTTGAGATCACACCAAGAATAAGACACAAAATTTTATTACGCAAATTCTATAAAGATAAACAAATATTCATTCTTTTTCTTTGCGTGAGCATATGTATGTGTGTGTTCTTTTGTTGCTTTTGGTTTTGTGGGGGGTCTGAGTTTCTGGGACGAGGATTTATCATCTTCACTATGTAAAAGAATCGTTCGGAATAAATGCGAACGATTCTTTCCTTAGGTTCATTGTATGACCCTCACCAGGGCTACGTATAGTTTTGAATTCAGAGTTTTCCTTTTCTAGACGGGTTGCCTCCCAAATTTAAACAACTCAGTTTGTCCTGCTATTTACCCATAGATGGAAGAAGAGAGATGGATTCATACCTTCCCCAAAGGCATTACTACGTAAGTGAATGTAATTAACTCAAATGAAATTCGTATTTCATTCTCTAATACTTCAAACCGAGCCACAACCCATTACTCTACCGTGACGTATTTGCATATGGTCTATTATCCTATCTTTGTTGTTGTTATCACCACGTTTCGGCCGTTGTGCCCTCTGGCCTTCATCAGGTGTATGTCGATCCGTGTAACCTACAGGAAATTGCAAACTGAACACTTTATTTAACCTACGCCGGTAGACTGTTCTCGTTCCATTGGCCAGTGATACTTGTCTGATAACATTGATTTCCTAGCTAGCTGATCTCATGAATGTCTGAAGCAATATTCAGTGGAATTGTTTTAAAAAAGAAAACGTTTCCCACCTCGATTAAAGATATCTGGTAAGTACTTTTGTTCCTGAGGCGGGAAAAAGACGACAGAATGTTAAACTGGACTTCATTAATGCCAAATAATAAGATTTTACAAGAATGGCGAAAAATTGTCTTAGAAGAAGAAAGTAAAAATTGTTTCGACATTATGAAACGCAACATTGATCCTTATATTAAAACCTAAAATTAAAAACCAAATTTAGCAACTTTCACCGATTCACGCGCTGAGTATCCTTAGCTACAAAATGAGGACGTAAATATTTTATAAAATATTTTGAAACATTAGCATCTGTTATCCTAAGCACAGCTGGGAAAAGAGAGATGGATTCATACCTTCCCCAAAGGCATTACGTAAGTGAATGTAATTAACTCAAATGGAATTCGTAGTTCGTTCTCTGATACCTCAAACCTCGCCACAATCCATTACTCTACCGTGACTCATATTTGCATACGGACTATTATCCTCATCTTTGTTGTTGTTATCATCACTTTTCGGTCGTTGTGCCTTCTGGCCTTCATCAGGTGTATGGCTAAGCGTCGATATACAATTTGAGATGAGATATGAAATCAGTGTACCTTAACGAATCAGTCGCAAGCCAAGAGAAGAGAGATTAGATTCAAACTCAAAGATTTCAAGGTTTTTTAAACCAAACTACAGCATTATAAATCGAAATTTAACGTATATCCTAGAGAAGGATATACCTTAAATTTCTATCACGTTATAGAAATTTAATATATATCCTATTTTTTGTTGCGATAAAAAGAAACTGTCATGGGCCCTTACCTATAACTACAGAATGAACTCTTCCTAACCCTATGTATACTACGCCTCTCAAGAGAGAGAGAGACGAATCGAGTCGAGCCGATAGTAGTTCACTCCAAACCTGACTGACAGTCATACTAACACCTTCCATATCTTGTATTATTATTTCGTGTAATATACCTTCGTTATTTCTACTCTTGTGTTCGTGTTGTTCTTCATTGGTCCTAACCTGGACCATAAGAGAAACAAAAATAATATGGCGTTAAACTAATCATATTTTCAATTTTTTTTTTTTCGATCAGAATGAAGGAACTGACTGAATAGCCTAGAGATATGAAACATTTTAATTTATAGTGCCGTAATCCAATTTGGCGCAGACTGTGTAGAGAAAATATCACGTGACAGAAAGTCGATTTACTGACCAATGAAAATATATCGGATATTTAAAAGATTTTAGTAGAGACAGTAGCATCTTTTATGATAGATAAAGTTAATGTTGAATAATCTCATAACATTATTAATTTATTGACTATTGTTACACTAGTTACTTATCTTAGACTTTATTTGTTTATCTTTCATAATTTTCTTGAAAATATTCTGTGCATTAAATACTAATCGTTTTTGTCTATATCTTATATATGGCCCAGTGGATAAAGGCGTTGGTTAGATCCATCGACTAGACCCAAAGAGTTAGGAGTTCAATGCCAGTCTACAGCAGTGGTGAAGCAAAAACCTTGCAGAGTTGAATTAAAGGGAAATAACCGAGACATAGAGTATAGGCAAGGCACGTGGAACTAGAATATTCTACCCCGGTGGACGAAATAATGGGTTTGGTTCGAAATTCCAAATACTTGAGGAAGACCGGCACGTGCAACGGCCGAAACGTTGTGAATATGGCAACGAAGATGAGGATGACAGTCCGAATAATGTAAATGCTTATCAATTGTTTATGCATATTTATAAGTGTTATTGTTTATTCTTATATCAACCCCATTCAGGACTATAATGCCATTATGAACACCATGACCCGATTCGTATGAATATATAAATGTTGTCACGTTCTTTCACTCTAGCATATTACATATTTAATATTTGTTTGCTGTCTATGATTATCAGTTATTATTTAATATATAAATATAATATAGGATAATAACTATAGATTTAGCTCATACTCTGACTCTGAAGAGCAGTATAGCTGTGGAACTTTGAAGTCAGTCGAGAGATAAGTCAATTGAACTTTTATTAATTTATTGATTATTTACTCTTTAGCTTTCTACTGAGCACTTTCTTAAAAATATTACTTATAAATTTTTTACATGTTTTGGACTGAACATGTAATCAAAAGACGAACTTTTAGAGAAAATGAATGCAAAAAGAACATTGTAGTGTGCATGATAAAGAAACAGTCTAAATTTCAAGGCCATATAATGGGGAAGGAGGACTTAGAAAATATGACACTCACAGGACATAATAAAAGCAAGAGTGACAGAGAAAAGTAGAATATTACCTAGTTGGTGAAAATCGTTGGCAGCACAGGGTTTGGAAACACAGTAAAAACACACATTTTACTTAGAGCTACAAAGGCCAGAAAATTGTGGAGATCCATCATCTTCCATCATCTGAAGGGATACAGCATTCAGAAAAAAGGTGGCTTAGAAAAATGGTTGATAAGTTGAATGTCTGCTTTAAACGGAAACATCGATATTTTGGCCATCGAAATGATTAAGGATCTTTTCAAAAAGACAGTATGGGTTAAAGTCTTGTCGAAACATATTTCATCAGTTTCGATATTGCGCCGTGGTATTTAGCGTTCACAGAAATATGCCGACCAACTTCGTTGCGATAAAAAGAAACAAAAATAAGATGGCGTTAAACTAATCATAATTTCAAGTATATTTTTTTTTTCGATTAGAATGAATAAATTGACTGAATAGCCTGGGGAGATGAAACATTTCAGTTTATAGAGCCGTAATCAAATTTGGCACAGACAGTGTAAAGAAAATATCACGTGATAGACAGTCGATTTACTGACCAATGAAAATATATCGGATATTTAAAAGATTTTAGTAGAGACAGCAGCATCTTTTATGGTCGATACAGCATCCGGTTCGACGGATGCTGGGAATACTATGAACAGAACACGTAAGCAACGAGGAAGAGTCTAAAAATCTGGTAACCTGAAGGGCATTTTACTTAAAATCAGAAAGATTTGTTATTTCTGGGGAACATTAAGAGGAAATGGAAAATTTAAAACTCACATTATATACTGAAGGTAGAGACGGCAAGAGAGAAACAGAGAATAACCTACGTAATGAGTTTGAAGGAATGATTAGTAGAGCACATCAAAAAGGGATAGGAAAAATGATTGATGGATTCGTTTTTAACGGCTCATCAACTCTTTGGAGGTTATTTCAAGCCAGATAATATTTTTAAATTGTAAGAGATAATAATGATTTCGCCTTACTAATTAATCCATAGATGGATGAAGGAGAAATGGATTCATACATTTCACAAGGGTTTTTGCGCGTAAGTGAATATAACGAAACCGATGAGAACTGGAACCCGTATCTCTGATTAACAATTTCGAAACATTATCCATTACGCCACCGACAAGCTTAAAGCACCTGATATTCCCAACCCGTCACCCACCTAGGTATTGACCAGGTTCGATGGCGCTTAACTTTTTGTTTGCACGAGAAGCAATGTTTCAACGATATGTGGCCGTAAGCTAAACTTTGCTTAGAGGAACGATAGAGACAAAATTGGGGACAGACATGATCAAGGGTCACGCATAAAAAAATGTCCTTATATATATAAACTACAAAAAGAGAAAATGTATGATCATCAATAAAGGATGTGCCCAAAATACGATTTATAGGTTGGGGACACTAAAAATCAAACTGCTGCGGAAATTTAAATATCTGATACGTGATTTGACAGAGGGCAGTAAGTGCGACGACGAGATCCGAAGACGCATTGGGATGGCCAAAGACGCATTCCAAAAGCTAGACAGAGTATTACGAGAGAGGAAGATGTCTTTGGTAACAAAGAAAAGAGTGCTGAGTTGCTACGTGCTATCTGTCCTCCTTTACTACAGCAAAGATAAAGAAGAGACTCGAGGCAACGGAGATGCGGTTCTACAGAAGGATTCTATGTATATAATGGACCGAGCATGTGAGCAAAGATGAAGTTTTGGAGAGGATGCAAACAAGAAAGAAGTTTATACTTAACATCAGGAAGAGGCAATTGATATTTATGGGACACGTAATGA